CAAAACACATTCAAATGAAGTTGAAAATTAGTGAAAAAAGTGAATTTTAAAAGTGCTTAAGGGTATTTTTAAAATTTTCCAAAAAATATGAAAGTGAGAATTAATGACCAAAATAATTTATGATCTTTACCATAATATAAAGAATATTAAAAATACATTACAAATCACATTCTTTATTTTTGGGATTTTATATACTTTTTTAATTATTTTTTTAAAAAATACTGGTCAATCACAAAAACCGTCCTAAAACGGAACCGACAATGCCCGGTTCCTAACTAAGCACACGGTTACCGATTAGATCGCCCTGTTTTTCCAACATGGATCGAGAAATATGGTTTCAATACTGGAAATCTTTCTGATAGCCTTAAAATACATTTTCATCTTTAATTATAAAATTTAAAGCTTCAACAATAGTGTAGATCGAATAGATATGTGAAAAATTGAAGATCTTGAAAATTAATAGTCCAAAAATGCATTACAAGATGCACTATTTCAAAACCTTAAAATTCATTATTTTCTCATGCCCATGCATATTGATGTCGAGATGATCAGTTTGACGATATTTGGGCATCAAAACAACATCTTCTAGTGAAATTTTTGAAGTGGGCTCTAATTTGATTGTTTAGAGCCTCGGCTCAATATGAACTTTTCCCATCTCATAAAACCCTTAAACAAATGTTGTTTTGATACTAGATAAGTATCTAATTAATTATATTTAGAAAACAAACATCAAATTGATTATATTGATTTCAAGATGTATAGATATGGAGAAAATATTGCAACATATTATCAAGACCTTCCATTTTAAGTATTTGCATACTTTTATAGATGTGCTTGATGTGTACTATTTTTGGAGTTGAAAATTTTATAGTTAGATATAAAAATAGACTCCCACGCTAAGAACTTTCGACACCAAAACTATATCTTATGACAATGTTTGGAGGTGTACCTTACTGTGATTGTTTAAGGTTGCAACCTTACGCAAACCACACCTATATATGAAGGACATGGTTTCTATGATTCTATGTAGAAATAAGTCATCTCTTAAAAATCTATTTATGAGATGGATATTTGGACTTAATTTTTAAGGACATGTAATCTCTAACATGGAGAACATGAATATGAATAAATAAATAAATTTTGAAAATTAAACATAATAATTCTATTAAAAAAGCATTTGGACCATTAGTTTCAATTGTTTTTAGATTGACTACCTATTTGCATCCCTCTTTAAGATGAATGCTTTATTCTTTAGAATTGCATAAATTAGAAATGTGGCCCAGCCCGTATGAAACAATTTTCCATATGTGAAATCTAAAACACTATTTATTAGTAAGAATAGCCAATAGAATAACCATTTTAGAAAATACAAGAATAGGGATATTAAGAAATATATGATTAATAAGTAGCGATGATATCTAGGGTGATTTTCCAAGTAAGTTATTCGTGGGACAAGTATAAAAAGGTAGGCTAATTTGGTTATTTATATTAGGGTGGTATACAATGAGTCCATTTACTTTATATCTAAAAAAGACCATTTATCTTTAATATAAGGTAGTCACAATTATTTATAGGAAATAATTGCTAAAAACCCCCAAATATGGACTTTCTAGACACTTTATCCCCAACTTTTTCCTTACATATTTTTCCCCAAAAGTAACTTTTTTAGCTAATAACTCCAATACAAAAAGGTTACTTTTTTTTTTTTTTTGATGAAAATACCCTTCCCTTACATAACAATAGTTTTCACTGGAAAAGGGCAGTCCGGCATTTAGAAGAGGCGGTCTGGCAATTTGAAATAACAGTCCGACATCTTAAAATAGCAGTCCTGCATTTCATTGGGACGGTCCGGGGATTATGCTATCGGAGAAATAGGCAGTTCATCATTTTAAAATAGCGGTCTAGCATTTTGAAGGGGCAGTTCGGCATTTTGAAGTGCTAATACGACATTTTGAAGGGCAATCTGGCGTTTTAAAGTGGCGGTCAGGCGTTTTGAAATGAGCAATCCGACATTGTACAAGTGCAGTCTGGCGTTTCGTTTTATTGGGATCCGAAAATAATTTGTTATGTAAGGGAAGAGTATTTTGTATTAGCTAGATTGGGGGGTATTAGCTAGAAAAGTTGGTATTAGCTAGAAAAGTTGGTTACTAGCGTTTAGAAGAGGCGGTCCGGCAATTTGAAATAGTAGTTCGGCATCTTAAAACAGCGGTCCGGCATTTCATTGTGACGGTCCGAGGATTATGCTATTGGAGAAATACGCAGTTCGGCGTTTTAAATAGCGTTCTGGCATTTTGAAGGGGCAGTCCGGCATTTTGAAGTGGCACTACGGCATTTTGAAGGGCAGTCCGGCGTTTTAACGTGGAGGTTCGATGTTTTGAAATGAGCAGTCCGACATTGTACAAGTGCAGTCTAGCGTTTCGTTTTATTGGGATCCGAAAATGATTTGTTATGTAAAGGAAGAGTATTTTCGTCAAAAAAATGAACTTTTTGTATTGAGGGGGTATTAGCTAGAAAAGTTGGTTTTGGGGAAAATATGTTAGAAAAAATTAGGTTGGCGCTAAAGTGTCTAGAAAGTCCATATTTGGGAGCTTTTAGCAAATTTCCTTTATTTATAACTATATGATGTGATATTTAATGGTTTGGCTATATCACAAAGTTTGAAAATTTTTCTTTTGAAGTTTGAGCTTGGTAGAGTGCAGCCACCCAATTTAACATTTAATCGTCAAGATTAATTATGACCACCTTGTACTAAATATAAATGATCTCATTCTATAATTTTTCCATTTAAATATTAGTAAAATGAGGAAAATAATTACTCACATTTAGCACCCAAATTTGGGCGATGAGTTATTTATCTTGTCGATCTTTTTTACTTGGTGAATTGCATGCCATTTGCAAACTTTTGGTATTGGGTCCAACATGAAAGAGCCACTTAGCTTAGACTTTCAAAAAACAAATTTGGTTATGGGAAAATAGAGAAGCCTACATTTTTTTATTGTGAAAAAAAAAAAAAAAGTTACCAAAAAGAGATTGTAAACTTCGAAAGCATTAAGCATTTTGTTTACCATTCATTATATGTCAAATACGACAACTTGAGGCGTATTAAAAAGTCAGGAAGATTTTTATTTGAACTATAAGTCAATGGCATATACTCGCAGCCACCCAATTTTGAATCTAATGGTCATGGGTAGATGACTAGACGAGACCTCATTGTACCAATGATCTTGTTGTGGACCTTTTTTTTGGAAAAATAAGGAGTTGTATTTTCATAATTTTCATCTTACGAATGATGTGTATGAGAAGGATAAGAGGAAAATTATTAAGTTCAAAGTGGTCCTTCACAAGGTGCTAATATTTTGAAATTGTAATATTAACAATAATTTCATTAGCATGAAATGTCATCTCAATCTCCACGTCGATCTACAATACTATGAGCTATTCCAACATTTCCATTTATTAAGCATCATTGTCTTTTTATTTATTAATAAAAAGCTCTACGTAACGTCTATTGGCAAAAATGAACAGTAATTTTGCTTATATGTTCGCTACCGTCCAATTGTTTTTAGACAGTAGGGAAAAATCTACCACTACAGACCTATTATGTCAATTGCGTTACCGCCACGGGCAGCATGAATCCATGGGGGTCGACTTTTCACGTTAAATCACAATGGACTTGTCCATTGCGAGGGGGTGAAAATACTATTCATACACTCAGCTGAATAGTATTTGATTTT